GCTAGCCCAATCCTAGCTGAGGATGGTAACTGCAACTAATGGCCTGCTTGCTCTTGCCCTACCGGCCTGTCTATGCTTTCCTCCACTGCACTAGTTCTGGCTAATAAGCAGCTGCCCCTGTGTAGCGGGCGCAGCATAGTTCACTGTCAGCGGGTTCTCGTGAGGTTAACTTAATCAATTATTCAACGCCGGCAAGTGTCTTTCGGTTCCACGTTGACACATACAGGACGATTATTCTACTACCAGACCCATTCCTTATCATGACCATCTTGTTTTCTTCCTGTAACGCATGATGCAATCGAGGGAATGGGATAGGGAACGAAGTCGAAACGATATCCAACAATTCGCTTCCTTGCTATTGCGGGCAGAGATAACGAAAACCATGATCTTCGATCGAACAGAATCCGTGATTTAAACTTTATTTTTTTTCTAATTTCAAGTTACGCATTTTAAAAAGTGATTCGCTTAGCGGAGTGTGGTGTGTATTTAATTTGAAGCACGTGTTTCCCAGAATTATGTCGATGAGTGAAATGACAAAGTCCACCCAATGAACTATGAATTTTCATTTAAGAGTTTCCGGTTTGATCCGCCAGCTGTCGCGATGGCATTGTTTTCAAACAAAATACCCCATTTAGGAAATATGAAATAAATGAAAGGACACTTTAATTCATGACTAAATATACATATAACACTTGACACCTGGCTAAACGAAAGTTTTTCCTTTCAAACGCGCCCTTCTAAGCCATGATCATGACCAAACGATTATTTTTTACCCATTTTTTCAGTTCGAATTTTTTCTTATCGCTAGTTTCATTTATTAGCTGCTGAGAAAATCGTTCTGTTGAACGCAAATGGTAATCAGGAATTGGACAAAAGAGAATCTTAATATTGTCTGGTTTTTGAATAATAATAATAATAATGATGATGATGATGATGATGATTTTTTAGGCTGTATTTCTTGGAAAATCCCAGCAATTTGCGGGGAAATAGACAGTTCTAAGATTCTTTGATGTAACTGAAACGTGAGGGATGGAGCTTAGCAATGATTTCTTGGAATTTGGCGTGTAGCATGTATGGGAAGTTGTTCGACCACTACATTCCTGTCGGGGTTAACATGAAGCATTTATGATAAAAGAAAGCTTTGAACCGTGTTGCGACAGGTACATTATGATGTTCAACCAAAGTATATTAAATGAGTCAGCAAATCGGCGACCCAGTTTAATCATAAGCATTTCAAAAATTGATCAGAGAGTGTCATCAAACACTGTCACACACACAGAGACGGAAATCGGAAAATGCAAGAACGTGGGACACAGCAAGCCAAAATAATCAAAACACGCCCGGGAAGTAACTACCCCATATGACAGCTTGAGTTTGAAATCCAAACTAATCACGATGAGTTTGCCATCGCACAGCTCAGAGTCAAACATTCCGTCACGCCCATAAAGAGCATGATCATTCAACGTGTCTTTCGTTCTTTGAAGTGCTTGTCTGTGACATAATGCGAGCTGAAAATAGTCTTTCTGATCAGCCGAGTGTTGAGAATCTCTTTATAATAGTTACGTTTCAATCGTTAACGAGCTCCGGCCTACTAGGTGGGTTTCAAATAACATATGTATGTGTCAATCAGTCACCGCCAACGAAGTACCCTCAGTGTTTGGAAATCAGGATTTTCTATCACTTAAGTTTAAGACCACCTTGGGTGCGAAGAGAGTTTGTTGTGAAATTTTAGATGTAAGAGAAGTATGAGGTATTAACGCAACCAAAATAATTTACACTATGTACACAAAAAAGCGAACCCAGTGAGATTGTCATCCATTCTCGCTCAGAGTTTCCTAGAGTAGTGAAACACGCCTCTTACTGACCCTGACCATGAAATAATGATCCCAGTAATAATCATTGGCAAATCATTTAATTAAACGCCTCAGCTATTTAATCAAGATATCCGTCTATAACAGCCGCATGTCTTCATGATACCCTGATTAGACTATATGATTTGATAAATTCATTTGATAAAAGACCGTGAGTCAGAGTCTAATTTTAAGAACAGGCGCAAACCTTATACTTCACAGTCGAAAAGCCTGTTAAATTTTGTTGCATATTTTCATTCAAATTATGAACACTATGTGTCGGGCTCATCGTAAGCATTTCTACCAGCTTATTCACAGAATAGCAGGTCATTGATAAGTGACCATAACTCTCGCACGGCGATCGAGATGAGGCCGAAAGAGCTTATAAGGGTGTACAGAGAGATTGAGCGTGGTTTGTGGTTGTGTTTTTTCCTGTTTTACTTTCTTCACAAAAGAAAAATTATCAGACAGGAAATTTCTTCTGTATCGCTGAGAGTAGATGAGAAATACTCAGGAAACGTTTTCAAGGGACATTGCTTTGTCAAAGCACACAGAACAAAATATTAGTCCTGCTGCCTAAAGAAATTACACAAAAACTTGGCATTATATCCGAAAGAATTTCATGACATGGTCGTTACTTAATGAGACTCACGGGCGAGGCGTAAAATTTCAGACACAAAAGATCCCTTGTATTGATTGAAGTGCGTACTAAAGAGAAATCGGATTTCACAACACTGTGTTCTAGCACGTTCAGAACTTATAGGTTTTGCAATCTTGGTAAACAAAACAAATCACACTGTTGTCGTGTCATTTACACTTGTTTATTATCTTTTAACGATTATTCCGATTTTTCATGTTCATGGATTCACGAGCCAATAAAATTGTAACCCCAACTGATTCATTCTTTCAGTTTCTAGGATATGGGTATCAATTCCCTCAAAGTATCATTAAGAAGTACTTTTACGAAACAATTCAATCTACATTATGATTCAAATCAATGACGCACGGTGATGCTAAATGGAAATACAAAGTCGTTGCAATGCAATGGTTGTATTCAGTTCGGAAACCAACCAAGAGGAAATCAATTACTAGATCGCAATCACTGAGAAATAACCATAACATCCAGCTAAGAGAAACAAGTCTTGCAATTTTTGAATTCCTCTTAAAAAAATTTCCCCCAGTTGCGTATGCTTTTAACAATGGACTGTCGACATCCTTAGCGGCTGACGCAATTTTAAATTCACATTGACTGAGAATTCACTGAGAACTATGTACAGTAAAACAGTAGTTAATTTGAAAACCAGAGTTAACATACAGTTAAAATTTCACTCCTGGCAAATTTTCATCATATAAATTCTCAGCATGAGTTCAGACAGGCTATGAGCAATAAATTGCCATCACAGAACACGATTGCAGTCGAAATTTATGTTAATGTTAGAGCCACTGAAGCTTTACGTGCGTCATTTAGGCTAATTAAAAGAGGGATGGGTTGGAATCTAAAATGATAAGGAAATAGGAAAAAGCTAGAAACTTAGAGGACAAACCCAATAGTGCAAAATGCATTTAGCTCTGCCAGTAGTCCCACGAAACAGAGACGATTGTCCTCGACATATACACTTGTATTGCCTCTGATTACCTCTGAAATAACTTTCTAAGTTGTATTCCGCAGTTCCTTCGGTGGAACAAGTGACACCAATGATTCTTTCCTGAGTGTTCTCAGTAACAATAACGTTTTGTCCAGAGCCAGCTCTCTCGGCTGTGAAAGGGACTCCATCTTCTACCCGATAGACACACAGAGACATATTCACTAGCCCCGGTTTTCCCGGTCTTCCGTCTACACCATCCTTTCCTGAAGGGCCAATAGGCCCAGGGTTTCCAGGCGGGCCCCTCGGTCCGACCAAGCTGCTGATATTAAGTTTATAGTTTTTTGCGAAGGAAAATGCTTTAGCCGCTCTTTGTTCTAGCTCTACAATCTTTCCAGTGTGTTCGATGTCTCGCCTCTGAAGCTGTGAAATGATTTCGTTTTTCTTTCTGATAGCTTGATTTAATTCGCTCAAGTTTGACTTCATTTCCTTGATCACTCTCCATAATTCCTGTGCTGATCCCACCGATTGAGCAGTAGAGCTTTGGCTGGGTACGATTTCTTTCTTACAATCGTCGCAGCCTGGGACAAACATGATCCCCAACATAAGCATCACAACAACAACTGCGGCCCCCAAACCAAATAAGAAACCGAAAAACGCCATGACTTTGAACAGTTTGTTACACGTGTCTCTGTGGTAGCCATCGTCGGAGTCGTCCGTGAACGTTCTTCTCCGCTTCTGAGAGTAAGGTACGGGTTCGTAAGCTTCATTTGTCTTCCTTCTCGGCCGCTTGTCAACTGATCTACTCGGAGGATGGGGTTTCCCTCGACCTTGATTGTGGAATACTTCATCCGCTAGTTTGCTTGGGTCCTCATACTGATGGCTTGGATCGTCTACAAAGCGTCGACCGTTCATGTTCTCGTAAGAATCCAGCCTTGTCTTCAACGGCGTTGTGGCCCGACATTCTAGTTCATAATCCATCATGAAATCCTCGTTTGTTGGAGTAAACGCTCTGTTAGGGACCAACTCGGCTCTGGAATTGACGCTAGCCATGTGCTTACACTTTCTATAGTAATTTCTGTTTCTTAATCAGTAGTGTACTCTGTAATTAGCTCTGTAAACTTGGCTCGTAGAAAAAGTTCTTCGTCTAATAATTGGGCTCCTTCTGAGAACAGGCGTCAATGTTTGTGTAGTAATTACGTTTGCGTATCTGTCCGTAATTTGAGCAGCGTGTAGGCCTGGCTGACCGCAGAGATTGTATATACTTCCGATCAAGAAAATATACACGCGTTGTGATGAGATACTGCTTGTTATAGATTAAGATAGTCACGCCATGGGCCAATGCCTAAGTACAACTCAAAATATGAATGAATGACTTCTGGAATTTAACGAAGAAAAAAACGACGCTGAGCTTTGTTTTAAAACTTCCGGTGATCCTTTGTTTATTTTCGCGCCATTTCCTCGCTCTGTTTCCTGTTACATGTGCTATAATCTTTTTAACCTGAAGATTTGGATGTCTGCCAACAAAAACTTTCCTGTTCATCTTCAAGCACCGGTCTTTGTCCCAATAGAGTCTGCTAAAAAATTACAACTCCTTCCAAACTGGCACATTTTTCGCCTAAAAACCCTACGGCAAATTGTTTAGAAAAAGGAATGTTATTGATAGGGATTGTAATTCAATGACAGCGGAGCGGAACAAGTAGTCAAAAGATCGCGATATATGCACAATGGACTTGAAGGTTTCTTTAACCAATCAACTATCGCCAGCTGAGACAAAGGTTGCGACAGGGTAACTAGGTATATCTTAGGGCAGTTTGATCGGATTTTATCCCGAAAACTCACAATCAGAGATGAGATGACATAAAATCTAAGAATATTTGGCACGAAATATGACACAGCCAAGATATTTGAGGGCAGAAGGGAAGGAGTCAAGGTACATTTCTGTGTCAAGGAATTCAGGCGCGTTTAAAGCTACAAGGATCCACTCAGCAATTGTCAAAGGCAAACAAACCTCACTTCCCTGTGAGGGACAGAATCTGAGTAAGTTTGAACACAATGGCCGCGATGGGCCTATAATGGTTTATGCTGAAGAAGCCGTATACAACTACCATAAGTTTGGACACTATAAAGTTATTATGGCACTCAAACCGGTCGATAGTCTTCGCAATCAGTTGTTCTTTGCGAAGGAATCTACAAAACACAAGAAAGAGGTGTTAATAAGTAACAAATCTTCGCACCTCCCTGTTAAACAAGCACCGAACTTTAAGGGAACACGAACAGACGGCAGATTTCTCGACAGCAAAACGGCTGCGCAACTTCGAGAACGAAAGACACATCTGAAACCTACTTCGCACCCGAACCCGGACTCGTTCGAAGAACTAATCGAACGATACAAAACTCGCAGAGCGGCCTATGATGATCTCATGGGAACAGGACACGTCGAAGTCTTAGACAAACTCGACAACTTGTACAGGCAAAGAAAGGAAGAGAGGTTAAAACTTTTGGCGCAGTTTAGCAACCTTGGAGAGATACGAACTGAGATAAATACATCGACGGGTTTAAGAGACCACGCGGCAGATTTAGAGAAGGCAAGTAAGGAAACAAAGGAGACTTTAAAACTACCAAAGATTCGAGTATCTACAGTATCCGAATTATCCAAGAACGACTCGCGAAGAAAGCTAGATAGAAAGCACTTGCTTGTCCCGAGAGAAAAAGTAGGGGGTACTTCGTTAAGAGCGCGCAATGCGAACTTAGAGAGTGTCACTTTTAAGTTACCGAAGCTCTAGTACCCAGCGGCTCATATTGAATATTTTCTTAAGTGCAAAACAAAATCTCTGATTCTTCCTTTTCTGGTGGTAAAGATCGCAAATCTGAACACGCCTGTAGATTATCTTTTCCGGAAATCTGCTTACTGACAGAGTAAGGGGTTTTATTAAGAATTATAAATGATTTGCGTGTCGTTCGCTGGTTGTCTTCACCGAGCCATTGAATGCGAGTCATCAGTCACGGTTTAGTGATCAAAAGGATTTTATAATCACTGACCGCACAAAAGACGATAACAGGGTTAATTTATTTGTATATATTACGTCTCCGTAAATGACTGCAGTTATAGGACTAATGATAGCTGAAAATATTGCAACTATGACAAAAGTAAATGGCAAATTAACAGTGGGTGATTACGTTACCCTGCTTGAATAAAACACGGCCTGATCAAATTGCGTATAAACAAACGTTAGAAGAGTTGTCAAAGAACCCTGCCATTATTGAACACTAGTTAAAACGTCGATCAACTCCGCACAAAGTCCGTGATCTAAAGTAAAAAATAGGAAATTCCAAATTTGGAACTGGTGACCGCAGTTAATTGAAAGCAGCGAAAGTTAATTTGGATGTACAGACTTAATTTAAACTTATTAAGATTTGACAAACTTGGTAAGGAAACCATGCACTTGTATGACGCCTTAGATTAAAATCATCGATGTGGATTTTACTCCAGGAGACGAGAAATGATTTGAAGCACATCATCAATGATCCATTAAAAAGAGAGAAAAGGGAGCAATCTGTTGGGCAATTAAAAAAAACACCAAATGCCAATTTGTACGAATCAAATGGCTTACCGTGAGTCAAAACACCGATCGAGTATCAAAGCCGCAAAACACAAATACAAACGGCGAAGTGAAGTACTGGGTCAAGTAAGTTCGGTCAAACTTACGCAAGAGCAGTAGAAGGTTCTACTTTTTTCTCCGAGCATAACTTACTTTCAACGCTCTGGTTTGATTTCAGAGACAGACATCGATAGAAATGAAGTCATGACCATTTTCGACTTTCAACCGAACACAAAGAAGTTTTATATAATCCATTCTCGTGATCCAATTTTGCTATTGACAAAAAAACAGAGCTGAAAGGTCGAGCAAAACAATGCAGCTATAAAGAGGGAACCGTTCACCTCAGATACGTTTCAGGCATGTTACCGCAAATTATAGGAAAAATTACGTCCTTCCCTAACTCGTTTCACGGTCAGGGCCGTAGGCAAGACGAGGCAATTGCCTTGTCTTGATTTTGGCCCAAGATTGACTTTCTGAAGAAAAATGCCTCGGGAAATGCTTAAAAGAGCATTTCTGAGCCTCTAGAATTCAAATTTTTCTGGGGAGCATGCCCCCAGACCCCCCCTTGCGGCTCGCGCCTTCAGCGCTCGAAACTTGCCTCGTCTTGTTCTGAAGTCTGGCGACGGCCTTGACGGTTTGAAGGTTCAGTGCAATTTGATAGTAATTGTGTCTTTTTCTCCTTTCCGGCATTAAGCAATCTTGTCATTATCCACCAGTTTTCATGATGTTTTACCGTAGAAACACTACTACACTTTACTCAAGTATAAAAGCTATGGAAAACGTAATCATTAGGCGTATGCCTATCACTTCCTAAATCACGCTCTTGCTTCAAACTTTTCCACTTAACAAACCAACCACTTCACGTACACAATACAGACGTTGAAGGAAGTTCTGTATTGCCGCTTGAACATCGCTGGAAATCGATAGCCATGGAACAATAGTTGGCCAACAGATTTAACTTACGACATTTGAACATTCGAAAAGTTACATCAAGTTAAAGGAAAGCACAAACAACTGATTTACTTGGCAAGATAGGAGGAAATTCAGAGTTAACCCTAAAATTAAAATGTACCGCAAATGACACATATGAACTGAGTCATTCAGACTAAAAAATATTTCGAAAAGATGCTCGACCTGCGGGATTCCTTCATGTTCAGACCCAGGAGAACAAACCTGCGTCCGCAAGTGCTAATACAGTGAGCCAAAAAGGAAATTTCAGCAAAGCTTTTCTGGGCAAGTTCAGCGGGCATTGAAAGGGAAGTTAGAAAGTGCTGATACAGTGAGACTAAAAGGAAATGTCTGGAAGGTTTTTTCTAGGTTCGGCGGAACAAGGAAAGGGAAGTTAGCGTTGTAAACGTGACTTAGAAACCAAGATCGCTGTCACACCCACTTCCAGTCATGTCCCAGTTTAGTACACGGATTCTTCGTGAGGAGGTTGTCGGAAATAAAAGTGTAAAACTGCATGCGATACAGGTACGTGGGTAGTTTTCAGGTCACGGTTCCTCGACCTCTTTATTTGAGAACGTCACTGTAATCGTGCGGGTTTAATGCATATATTTTATTCACTGACTTTTAATGCTAAACTCGATGAAAAACAAAAAAAGACTTGATTTGTCCATTGTTATTCTTTTCCACTTATTGAAATTGATTGATTACAGGATACCTAGAATATCTTTCGAGATTGTCGCGTACATTTTCGTCTTTTCTCCCGACAACATTTCTCGAAATAGCTGTATACTAAAACAGGAGATAGCATTGAAGGCGCGCTGTGATTGGCTAATTTCAAACTCCGAATATTCTTTTTTAATTTATAATCATTCTTCAAGCAAAATGTTAACGTCGTTCTGGGGTTGGTGTAAGCTCGAATACCAGCTTATGAGCTCGCGCTCCTCCCCTTGAACCAGTGAGGAGTGGGGACCGGATACGAGAGAGCGGCGGAAATCGAGCATGGGTCGGTGCAGTAAGAACAAAATCCGAGTCTCTTTTGAGTGCGCTAGGTAACGATGATTAAGGAAGTGAATAGACTATTGTCTTAAGAAATTCGTGAATGGCCAGAAACACTCAGTGTAAGAAACGGCCGCAGATCAGTCCATTAGAGAACATTAAAGACAGGTGTAATTTCCATAGATAACCATCTGGAAAAAAATGACTTCAGAGTTTACCTGCTCATCCAGAATTACTAGAAAAATGCTGGGAATGTCGTTGGGAATCGTATGAACTTGACAGTGTCTTTATAGAATAGAGAAATCGTGGAACGGAACGTGTAATGCTGATTTGTCGACAATGACGCCTGAATCAAGTGGAAGCAAAAAGTCCAGGATTACTGAACCAACGTAGGCGGAATTCTCAGTAACGCAAGTAGGAAATTCTGCGAAACTGACCCGGGATCACGTGGTATAAATAAAGTTTATCTCAAGAACGAAAAACAACCTTGCAAAGAAGGAGAAATAAATCGATAAAGTACGATTGATACTCCTTTGCTTTGGATGTCTCGTTGGGCTGTTTGTCTAGTCTCGTACCCAGACGTTCCACGGCCAAGCGGTCCTACATGTCAGTTACAGTTGTACAGCAGGATCTGGGTACGAGATTACTGTTTGTCTCCTAGCGAGTATGGCAAGCTGTCACTACCAAATCAAAATTCGGATCGACTTGCACATTACTGGTCCAAACCACTTCGAATGCTGTTGAGTTGCATAATTAACACGGTCGGTAAGTTTGGAAAATGTCTGGTCACCGTCTCTTTTTCACTGGTATAAACCTAGTAGCGTTCTATAATAATAGCTGCAATCTGATTGGCTAAGCTACACCCTATATATTTTATGAGAAATAGTGAGTAAAGTGGGTAGCCTAAACAATATCAAATGGAAACAGGGGCCAGTCTCATCGGTAAATTCTGAAAGGTTAGTAGATTCATACTGAAAGAACTAGATCATTCGCTCTCGATTTCTATGCGTGATAAATAATGAGGGCTTGGCCTTTATCAAATATTACGCGAACCCAGAAATCGAGAGCGAATACCCTCGTTTTGTTATATCGCCTGTAGCGCCCGTGTGCAATATAAAGTGAATCTTGTGTTCTGATTGGCTAACCGAGCGGGCAGCATGGGCCAATCTTGCCCGCTTTAATCCCGCGCCATAAAAACATTGTGTGGAGTGGACTTACGTAGGACTTACAAAGTTCGTAATTTTTGGACGATGTCAGAGAAAAAGTTGCAAAAAGCGGCAGACGATAGTCAAAACGAAGAAAACACGAACGACAATACCGGGTTTATTGTGCTACATACACGGTCGGCTTTCTTTCCGGTTCCCGAAATAAACAAGTCATTCCTGATTCTCAATAAAAGCGTAATATTTTTGTTATATAATACATCTCTTAATTTCAAGACCAAGCTTGTTTAGTCAAGATGGCTGGATATTAGCCTCGTTCTCTTTTTGTGTTTTCATGGGTGTCGAATTCGTCTCGGTCCATAACAACGCAGAAAAAGAACTCGGCCAATATGGAGCCATATTGACCTCAAGCTTAGTCAATAACGCATGTATAAAGCAGAAATTGAGAAGTGAAAAACAGTGGCCTGGCGCTATCCGTCTCGCTGTGAAGTTTGAGTGCCCAGACAATTTTAACTTAAGCATTCAAAAAATGTTTCCCCTAATTTTGATCGCGTGATAATGAATTCAAGCTTCACCCTTTTTAAATATTCAGCCATCAGTCGATAAGCACAATATCTAATGAGTGAATCCTCTCTCACGCGTAACATACAGATTAGGCGTCATATTTTCTTTAGTTTTACGGTATTTTGGAAACCAAATGAATGCGCGCACAATGTAATCACGAAAGACGAGTTACGCCCGAAACTAAGGAGGGCGTAACTTGCACGTGACTTGCACTTTGCACAAGACAGTTGTTCTGAAAGCAGCTAACAAGCGACGCTTCAAATCACCGATCGCCTATTATTCAGACCAAATCAAACCAGTCTTTGTCTACATCTGATGCAGCGATCTTAAGGTTCATCTTTTAACTGACTCATTCGAAGTAAGCCTTGGTAACAACATCACGTTTCTTTTCAACTGACTTTCAATTGTTTTTTGATCTTAGATAAACGCTAAACAGTGCTCCTAATACAACTGCAGATAATTCAAATAACCGAACTCTTCATTCACCTCAGCTGTCAGCTGTTTGAACAGTCTATTCTTATGAAGTCTACCTCAACATCAACTGTCTTTTTGCGGTGAAACTTGTAACTGGCTGCCAAGTCAAAGCGAAGTTCAGCCAACACTTCCAACTTCACTCCCCATTCACAAGCCTTTTTCTTGATGTGTTCCCTTGTGGCTGTCTTGTGCAGAGAATAAACAGCTGTATTAGACATACTGATGGCCTGCTGTAGAAATTTGAGGTCAATACCTAGAAGAAAATTAACAAAGAGCAATTATTAAAACCCAATTCAATTGCATCTCCTAAAACCAAAATCAAACTAATCAGAACAGAGGTAATTATCAAATAATAAAACCAAGCAAACTGCCTGAAAAGCAGGGGAAACCAAGTCATAATTGCTTTATTTAAATTTTGCACCTGATTTTATGAGAAGGTGGCTTGAGTATTTTAGACCAATCATAAGTGTGATGAAGTAAAATCAGAGTAATCCAAAGTTATCTGGGAGTGCATTTATTTGCTTAACCCTTTAACACCCAAGATCTCATTAGTAATTCTCCTTACCATCTGCAAAATGATTCTCATCATGTTAGTTTGGAGAATTTGCTATCAGGTCAATTAGTAATGCGACAATTGATATTTTTCTTTATTTTCATCACTTGTCTGCATGATATTGTATAGATATAGTAGTGAGAAATTCATTTAGTCACTCATGGGTTAAGTGTCCTTAAAACTGAATGCAGTCACACCATATACCAAAGTCACCTCTGAATAGGATGCTAATCTATCAGCAATTCTTTATGTTTTCAAAACAGTTCAATGGTACCCATTAGTGGTATCCAGTCATTTTGTGCCCATGGTTGTTTCATACCCAAACTCAGTTGATTTGTGCCCAGTTTGAGTTGCTTTGTACCTGAACCACTTGTCAATTTGTACCTATCCCAATGTACATTCATTTGAATGAGTGTGTAAACAGATGTTGATTGTTGTGTACAAAAAGTTAGTAGAGTCGAGGGAGTAAGAAACAAACAAAATTCTACTGTGTATACTCGTGATCTAACAAACAAAAACAACTAAATTATTGCCTAATGCAAGGTAAGTGTGGTATTTCTGATAGAACAGTTTATTGTTTACACTTGTACTTTTTTTGGACACCATGTACCTAAAACTTATTGAACACAAGTAATAAGCTATTTAAAATAAGAAACTGACCTTACTCTAACCATACTTGACATGGAAAATATATTTTGTTAGAATGGGTACAAAACATCTCAACTGACTAGATATGAATCAACTGAGCTGGATATGAATCAACTGAGCTGGATATGAATCAACTGAGCTGGATATGAAACAGCTATTGGCAAGAAATGACTGGTAACCCCATTCATATTCTTGCAAGGGATGGGATGCCATCAGAGTGAAGGGTCTTACCTAAGAGCACAATAACGTGACCTGACCAGGGCTTGAACTCAGACCTTTTAACCCTCAACACCTTAAATCAGTATGCATATTCTCCATACTGTTCTCTAAACATTTGTTAAGATGCCAACATGGAGAATTTGTTTAACAATCAAGAACTTCTTTAATCAGTGATCAGCTCCTTTATTCTCCTGACCTTCCTGTTTGATTCAGGTGTGATATGGTAGGGAGAAATTAGATGCCAGTCACTCTTGGGGATAAAAGGGTTCAACTAGAGTCCAGCATGGTAATAATAGGCCATCTGTGTGCAGGCTCTCACAAGCAGTGCAACACAAGCAGCAAAGCCTGCCCATTGCCAGCCTGGGAATGATTCAAGTGTGCAGTAGGTTCCTGGGGATTCTGGTGAGAGAACAAGTGCCAGAACCCTCACTGACCTCTTACCAGCTCAAATCTTGCAGGTTTTGTTGCTCCTACTGTAGTGCTTGACCCTTTACAGCCTAACATCAGTAGACATATTCTCCATACTGTTCTCAATACATTTCCCAGGATGCTAACAAGGAGAGTTTGTTTAACAATCTAGAGCTTCTCTCATTGGTAATCATTTCCTATTTCCTTCATACCTTTATGTCTGATTTGAGGGTGATATTGTAAGGAGAAATTAGGAGCTTATCACTCTTAGCGTTAAAAGGTGAAGAGAGCTTGCTCGAAGGCACTTCTTGAACAAGAGACTAATTCAGATCTTGGCCGAGGTTTCCACCAAGGCCTGGAGCAGTGCTTGGTCAAATTTACCCATTCTGATAAAAATCAGCATCTAAATTTTGCGTAGATACCTCTATTGTTCTTAGTTCCAAAAGGAGGGTTCATAATGATCGTGTCAAACGTTTTTCTCCATCTGTCACACAATGCAATCTGTTCCACGTCACCTTGTATAAGTTCACATGTCTGAATCTCAAACTCTGCGCAGTTTCTAGCAGCGATTTCTAAAGCATCGCCGTCCACATCAAATCCGACTGTCATAGCACTTCCAAGCATACATGAACCGATACTTAAAACGCCGCATCCACATCCCAAATCACCGACAAGTTTTCCTTCAATGTCACCAAATGTGGAGTCGATCGTGTATAACATGTGAGCCGCTATATGCGGCGTTGTTGGATATTGTTCCAGATCCACTTTTGGCTTTTCAAAAACATCAACTTGCTGTAAGTATCCTTCTAGCTCTTTAAGCTTCATTTTGTAAAAAGGAACAGAATCGTAGAGTACATATAGCCTGGTCACAACTCTCGAAATTTACTCACGGCTTGGCGACCGTACACTTGAAATACACTTGGTAGCCTCGCCAAAAGAAACTTACCGAAACCACTATGGTGGACGATAAGGGCGAAGAGCGACAATCAGACACAGAGACAAATCTTACGGAAAGCAATTCGAGTCAGATTGGATGGGTAACTTTTGACGAACCTGACACAGATGAACCAGAGTGCCTCAAAACTACGGATCACGAGCAAATTTGTGCGCAAAAAGGACAACATATTGCACGCTTAGGTGAGTCTCAGCAATGCTCTTTATTTGCTAATCGAAGATCGATTCATTGCCTTGAAAGTCATCGAAAATTGTTCATCTTCGTACTATTCCAAGACGAAAGAAGTGCAATTTAATCGAGGAAATCATGCAAGAGTTTTAATAGGGGGAAATTCGGTCACTCGGCCTCAGTGATCTTGATTCTTGGTGCTGAGATTGATAGATAATTGTATTATCTCAAAGCAGCTAGGATAGTTGAACTTTGATTGGAACAGATCAAAACGAAAAAAACTTAACTGGATTTACTTATTGATTTGGAATATGCAATTGTGGTTGTTAGTGGATGTGATGGCAGAGAAAAAAATTAACTGATGGCTACCGGGGCAAACTTCTTCTTCAACCCATTAACTTATAGGTCTGGAATGACTGGCTTCTAATTTCTCCTTACGGTATCACCCCTGAATTAAATGTTGAAGTGTTGAGAATAAAGGAAATGATCAACAATTAAAGGAGCTTATGATTAACAATTCTCCTTGTCAGCAGCTAAGGAAATGTTTAGAGAACAGTATGGAGAATATACATATGGATGTTGGGATGTAGAGGGTGAATAATGATTCATTGCAGAAGAGATAGGTGTGATGTCTGAATTACTTCCTTTTTTTCTCAGAGAGGGAGCTTCAGAGACTGCAGGATAAGAAAAGAACACCTCTTTCATCCAAAGAAATGATAAAAACTTTGCAAGAAGCCAGAGATACTCATATGAAACACTTTATGGACAGGCCTGAACAATCAGAGGCATTTTTGACAGACGGAGGTGAAAGAAATGATAACTCTTGTTGCTTTCCTGTATACAGAGTAGTGTTTCCTAAACAACCACTCAACAATGAAGAACTTGAGTGCTTGTTCGAAGATAACGAGGATAATAATCCTGATAGAACAACAAGTGAAGCATGGAAGACATGATAATAACACATTCTAGCCAGTTTTTTGGGTGAAAAGGTTGAGCATCCAACAATTTGATCAGACCTACCTTTCACTGCATTGAAAATAATAAAGAGAAGCTGGTAGCAATGACTTTTTAATGTGAGAATGCTCTCAATTTTGTACTATGAAGCCAAAATCAAATTAATAGTAAAGATAATATTAATTCCAATACTGTGAATACTACTTATAATAATAATGATAATAATAATAATAATAATAAGGATGATGATGATGAAGCTTGATGAGGGAACCCCAACTTGCCAAAGTGGAGCCCTCAAGATCATAATTAATAAATTACTATGTTGATTTTGTAAAGAATTAAGGATTAGAATCAAAATCTTAAAACATGAAAAGAAATAGTTTTCAGTTTTGCTTTAACAACCTAACGAAAAAATGTTTTCCTTTCAAATTAAACAGAAGTCTGACAGGCCAAAGTTTGTGTGCCTCAGTTAGTTCAGGGAAGAGGCAAATAAAGATGTTTGGATCTTCTTGTGTTGAAAGAATTAGCAGCTTGATTGGGGGTAAAATCAAAGTCCAAATCAGTTTTGTGAATTACAGACATTTGTGTATAGTAATCATGACAGAGGGACTAATCTCCATTAACCCTTTAACTCCTAGAAGTGATAAAAATATAACTTCTCCCCATGATGTTCATACATTATCCAGCAAACAGGTCATGAGAATATTCAAACTTATCAGGTTGAAGTTGTTATCTGGATCTAACACTAAATTCTCAACTAATTTACCAGGAAATGTGTAGCAGCTAGAGGGGAGAAGTAATAACCACATCTTTGGAGTTGAAGGGTTAAATGAAATACATGGCATTTTGTTGTGTGGATGATATGAAAGAATAAAAAGGTCATCAGAGGTGAGCTGAAATTAGAGAAATTTCTGCGAAGTAGCCTAAAAAAGACCAGGCTTCAAAGGGATCCCATCCTTGTAATTTAGGCAAGAGAATTTGGTGCTATATCAGGATTACACCCTTAAGCTGATAAGCTTTTCTGAACTCATAACCTGTTTGCAAGATAACATATTGGAACTACTAGGAGAATTTAATCATTAATCATTTCTGAGAATTAAAGGTGAATTCCCTTAAGTATCATGTATTAATGGAACAAAGGAATATTACGGTGCTCCTTCATGAAAGGTTCTCTTTTACAACCAAGCTCTAATCACAAAAGGAAGAAAGTCAATGAAAATGATCAAAGTAAAATTTTTGAATTATTATTATTAAGTGTTTTGATCCTTTTGGTTTGTTTTTACCCCATTTGTCAGGCAATTTTGTCAGACAATTTGTTCAATTTTATTGAATTAGATGGTAGCTAATCCAAGTGTTGTGTGAAAGTCGATGCATACGAAATATTCATTTACAGTACTGATGCTTGTGTTTATGCCGGTATCTGCTAAAGGTTTTCGCGCTGTTCACGCAAAGGATATCGCTTAGCTCAGGAAAGGGCGTGAACTTCATTACAAATGAGGTATGCCTGTTGTTAAAATACGATGGAAACTACAATTAGGATTTTCATTGGACAAGAAAAGCGCAAATATAATGATGTGGAAAGAAAAGGAGTATGAGTACATCTCAAGCGCGTGAAAGAAACGTCAATGAGGAGCTCGCCATTCTTCGCTTGCGACACGTCAGCCGTAAAGAATGTTGAACAATCGTGTACGGTGTGGGAACAGGCCCCTTAATCACCAATTTTTTTTACCTGAATTCATAGTTATCTTCCCCTGATTTCACTAGTGGTATGTGTTCGTAACAGCCGTCTTCGAAGCCGGTACGCAGCATACTAGTAAGGCCGACGACATTGAATAGTAAAATCTCCTCGATGTCGACGGTCGAAACGCGTCCAATTTGGCCGCTCAGCCAGCATTTCTATACACTTCTTTCCAAAGGATGTCTGTATATGTGTATTATTCTTGTAGCTAACATCGTTTGGCGCTCCGGCCACGCAGCATGAGGGGACGCAAATCATCTGTACTGTAAGTATCCCGGAGAGTCCCCTACATTTTCTTAGACTTTTAGTCTAAGAAAATGTATGGGGACTGTAAGGTGTCATAATCCTGTTGCTGCTGACATCGATGTGACAGATAATTGCTTTTGTACTGTTTTCTTTGCCGGCTTATACTTGTCATCAAGTTTCAATAAGACGGCTATCATTTTTCACAAGAATAATGAAGTTTTCGTAAATTGTGAGATCGGATGGGATTAAAATGGGATTAAATCACCCACAGAGCTTGATATGTACTTACAGTACAGACGATTTGCGTCCCCTCATGACGTTCGCCCTTTCGCCTAGATTTTTCCTTGCTCCACTATGGTTGGCGACGTGTCTTTACAGTTTCCTCAGTATATCACAGCTATGTAACGTGATCGTTTTGGCCGCGTTTTGAGGACACTTTTTAGCCGCCAAATCATACTTTCAATACGCAAAAAATGGTCAAGGAGAACTCGCTATGCACTAAGGTAGATTATTTCTAATTTCAAATACAGCTATTCAACCGGAAAATACAAAAAAGAAAATTCGTGTCATAGGCACTTTCAAAGTAACATACACACAGGAGCCCATCACTTGTGATGGACTCCTGATATACATCAATAGTTTTTTTTCGCTGATTTTTTTTACCTGCGCAATGGGGAGGGACTGCTGGAAGTCTAAAGGCATGATGGCCAATAGAGCAGCGTAATGGGTGACAGCCAACACAGTAACAGAAACGGATTCAAATTTTGGAAAATACCGCAAACTTTTTTCAGGGTGAATCTAGTTGTCGTGGGTCACTAATAAATTTCCACGGGTCTTCCTCGCTCAGAAGAAGTTGCTGCGTTGTCCTCTCAAGAGGGCGGAGTAAGTCTTTTTCCTCTGTAACCGACCCAAGGAAAAAAACTATTCCCTATTCTTACATCTTGAACATATCTAAGGCACTATGAGTAAATAGTACTGCAAAGGAAATTAAATTAGTTATTAAAAACGGTTTTGCACATGAGACTCAAATAAAACAACCAGCGTTTTTCCGTGGATTTCATTGTCAACATTTGTTTCTTTGATATAATCTGCAACTGTGTATTTATTGATTTTCTGGAAATATTTTTCAGAAAAGTTTCTCACAGTTCTTTGTTCTTTTGGGTAAAGGCAAAGTAGAAGTGGAGGGTTTTTCAGCCGAAAACAGACTTAAGAATTAATTCGGCCTGCAGCAAGCGACACTATTGGCCTGCACTTGATTTTGGTGACCAATTTGCCGATCATTTAGCCAACATTTTTTAATCCAAAATTTGCAATTTTCTCCGTTGTTTCAATTGCCTCCTTGCGTTTGCGTATGCGTATGCATATGCGTGTTCTGTTTCATTAGTGAAAAGCTCAAAAAGAGGGAAAACGAAAGAAATTAGAGAGACAGAAAGCTTTTTCTGCTTGTTTGCCATTTCCCATTATAGTTTGCAACCGGGCCGCGTCTGTCGCCATAGAAACAAATCAAAATACGCATGTGCGAAAGTAACTCCTTTTTATGTTACCAAGGAAAGAGAGAACTATCGTGGTGGAATGCTTTGATTCAACCATCCAAGAAATAAATGTTCACGTGTAATTTTGAATTTAAATGCAAGTAAAATAGAGCGACGTGGACTGTAGGCTGCCGTAAGACGCGCTCCGAAAAAAAAATCATCGTCTTGTAATAGAGCGTTGAGGAAAGATCCTTTTCCCATAAAAGATGGGTTCGGAGATGAGCGCAAAGGAAGGAAGTGATTACCAAAATGGAAATGTCAAAAAGGACGATGATTTGTACGAAAATGGCGCAGACGAAAATGATCGAGATAGAGAAGGTAAAGCAGCTCAAGACATGGGGAGTAAATATAAAAATGGCGATATTCGCAGCAGAAAACCGGTTAAAGCGGGAAGTAGGACAAAAGCTGAGCTGAGGAAAGCAATTCTAAAAACTAAACAACCAAGCATGAACGAACAGCATAAACCTATCGCCATTCCAAAGTGGCTCTCCCCAATTTATTCTGTTGTGATGTTTGTGGAAAATACTTTGCCTTCGAGGTTCAGACGACTGCTTGTTTTTCTGACCATTGTCGGGCTTGCATTTGGAACCAGGCTGTTCAGTGTGACACTGCCACCTCATATCTGGTTAGTAAAAGTTTTCGTGTTTATCAAATCTGAATCAATTGCCAAGATTGATGATGTTACCTTTGCAGTCTATGTCTGTCAGTCGATGGACTAACCTTGTGGAGATTCCACTGGATCCCTTCTTATTGTAGCATCATGATACTTTGCCGTGATATTTATATTTTGAAAATTTACCCTCCCCTCTGAATTGATTGAGTGTTTTCAGTTCTTTCTCTTCCTTTCGAGACTGATGCCTCAACGATGAGGCGATTTCGGTAATTACCTTCAAGTTGCCGAAAGAGAATAACTATTAGTAGTGTATTTCTCACGAATAAGTTATCGTTATTCAATTATTTTGCTGGCTCAAAAGCTTCCCAAGCTTTCGTTAGAGAAAAAAATGACGTTTGAGCGAGTCATGATGATTAAAGTCACATCCAAAACAGGTATAAATTCACGTCTGTGTACAGTAATGACTTAGTTATCTAACTCGATCAGAAAAAGACAAAAAACTACAACAACAAAAACAACAACAACAACAGAAAAGAAAAACACAAAACTAGATACACGAAAAAAAAAAATGAAAAAGTAAACAAAACATAGAAAGCGGTGAATTGTTTTCTAATGCATTGTGTTTCGACGGCTAAGAAAAGAATGAGGGGCTAAGGGGACTTAGAGACATTATAACACGATTTTTGCTGACCAAAATTATTTCTAGAGAGAGAAACTTATGAAGGAGTGAAGGCTGACCCAGCCAACCTGAATGCTCTCTCCCGCAGCGGCTTCTCTTTCTATTTTTTTGAAAGATTAAATTAAGATATTGAAGAAATCATTAGGATTCTGATGGACTGAGGAATCATTCCTTTTGAAGTTGCTAAACCTGTCCAAATCGGAAAGCAGGCTTTACGTAAAATTTCTATCTCAACGGGAACCGGAGTAGGTAGTGTGGATATTTTTACAGTGGTTTCCGTAGCTTTTTTTAACGAGTGGATGTCGATGGTAGAATAGAAGAGCTTTGGTCACTAAAGGGGTCGTACAAACAGCAGAAGACAGCTTCTGTCAGCCTGTGACAAGAGGTGAAGGTGGAAGAGATGTTCATTAAAAAGTTTTTCCTCATTCCATTAAAACATGGATCTACAGAATTATCTGAAACCTACTTTGAGAAATAATCTGCTTTGAATGAAAATTAACCGATGAATATGGCCACGAGTAATAAACATTAACGGTTGATCAAATTTCTGGAAACCACTTCTTAGTCGGAGTAGGACCTGGGTAGGGGATAAGCAGTGAAGGTTCGAATTGTGGACTTGCGAAGCGCGCTCACGACGCTTCGGTTTGGCGAATGAACACTTAGGATTTACATCTCTTTTTCGCAAAATATGACTCCTCGAAAAGGCGCAAAGGCGAAAAAGCCAGACAAAGATAGCGACAATGAGTCAGAAATGTCTTCACCGTCGGAGACTACACGCGATTGTGCCAAAGATGTCCACATGTCTAAGTCGAATGATTTGCCAAAAGTGAACCGCAAAGTGTTTGGCCGGCTAATAGTTTTTGGAGGAATCTTACTCATTACATTTGCAACCCGACTTTATGCATTAGAAGACCCACCTCATATATGGTAAGAGAGTTAAGAATTATAACGTTCAATAATTTTCGATTGATTTGTTACTATGTTCAATATTTCCAGTTGTACTACTACGGAAATATTGCTTTTATTGTATAGTTTCGTTCTGAATGACGCCCAGTGCGAGGTGTCTCACTGCCTTGTAACGGACTAAATTTAACTTTGAAACTTAAGAATTTAGGGACTTGTAGAAATTATTGACCACGCAAGGGGCTGGCTGCCGCTCCTTAATTACGGTTGTGTAGCAACTGTTGACGCCATTTTAAAACAAATAACTGAGTGCCAAGATATTCTTCGATTCCTTTGGGGATTTTTCAACCGTAACAGTCAATTTATTTTAAGTTGAATCGACAAATTGTGTACGTATAGTTCATAACTATGCCTTTCTATCATTTTTTATCGCACTCTGATCAAATTCAAGTTACCGGCTTTCATTACGAGCTTGAAACGAATATTGCATGAATCGGTATTCCAGTAAGCAATTCTTGAGTGAATCGAGCAATTCTTGAGTGAATCGAGCAATTCTTGAGTGAATCTTTGATAACTCTTTAATTTTTGGACGGTAATTGTTTATTAACCCCCAGAAGATTTTGGTTGTTTTTAATTTTCTGCTCTTAGCAAGAATTTCGAATTTACTCTCCTCCATTAATTATAGCCACCTGTGTTTTCACTCTTTGTTGTTCAGTGACTGTGCAAGATTGTTACAGCTGTCTGTGTATCTTCCTACTGGTGCTTAAACAAACGCGTTACACCCATATTTTTAAGGTGGCTCCATAGGGTTTTTTGACCGCGTGAGATCTGGATACTAACATAGTTTGAGCTTAAAACCTGGCAATCCAATATGATTGTATGATTGTTACCTGTAAAGGTGTTTAAAAACAGTTCAACACAATACAGTTGTTATGTGATGGAATCAAGGGTTATCACCGGTAGTATTAATAGTCCTTCTATGCCTGAAAGTCAACTGGAAAGAAAACACTGTAAGAGAGATTGCTGAAAGGCAACAGATTTGAAAGTCTACACATGCTCAGATACCAATCTTGGCAAAGCTCTATTCCATTGTGTAATACTTTGTGACAAAGAAAATTGGGATCAATGGCTTTTCCTTTGGTGAAATTTCACAAGATTTGCTGGACCATTAAACATATTTTTGTCTTTCCTAGTATCTGTTGATTAAAAAAATTAATGGGACCAAATTTAAGATAGAGGAAGGAAACACAGAATTGCAAATAGTCAGAAGACTACCTTTGTAACCCCCTATTTTTTTGGCTTTTAAATAATTGGCAGGACAAATTGGGAAAATTTTGAGAGGTTTCACGGAAGAAAATTGAA